GATATCTTTCTATTTCGAATCTCATGCCTGGAAGGTTTGGGATCATTATTTTCTGGGTTAGGGACAAAGTCACCATTCTCCTGGTCAGCACTCGGATCAGCCATGGGGAAGTCATTAAACTCTGAATCAGCTTGACTCCAATCATCGGCCTTTTAACCTCACCCTGGGCCTTCTCAAGTCTCTTTTCCTCGGCAACTCTTCTCCTCTTCTGTCTCTCTGTGGCAGCCTCCTGTCTCTTGGACTCCGGAATATCTTGGCTAGAAATCATGAGAGCCCCTATACTGCCAGTCTTCTCTCTCTGTGCTTTGACAAATGCCAGTTCGATCACAGGAATCTTCAGTTCACGCTTGCAAATACAGGAGATGTGGGCCTCGGGTTTACAGTCACGATCGCATCCAAACTCAGGACAGAGAACAATTGGGCACTTGCAAGTAATTATGTCAAATAACTGGTCCAGTTGCTTGGCAAAGCTGTCCTTAACTGCAAGTTTTCACTCTCCCAAGAAGATATCTCTTACCTTTTAACTTGGCTGTGATCTCTCACTAATCTTCTTCTGACTTACATTTATGACTGGAGCTTAGACTAAAGGCGTTAGCCAGAGTCCATGCCAGTGCCAAGACAGCTTTGGTCATATCACTGGCAATGTGTTTGTTTGTGTAAGTTCTTTGGTTCTTTTCACTGATTTGCCTCAGTTAAAACACCGTATCTCAAAAGCATCTCTCAATGTAAACGCTCCGACTTCAGGAGCTCTCTCTCCCAGACCCAAGATAGTATTGACTGAGATAGCTGGATTTTAGTTCCTCAGTGCAACCTGGCAACCATCACCAAATATTATAACATAAATGCGTAGAATCTGAAACGAAAAAAATATTGATAGCGAGTTGGGTTGTTAAAGAATAAAATTCAAATAATGTTCACTATTTAATTGCAATGCACTAATGCAGCTGTACGTTAGATTTTCGATAAATTTCACGCTAAAATTTACCTAGCAAAAGGTTGCAAAATATTGAAACTGAAATTATTTTCTGTTTATATACACTAAAATCTACCAAAAAAGTGATGGGCCAGTAGTTTTAGTTGATCTTCCCTCCTATGACACACCCTATTCATATATCCTAAATCCAAACCAACTGTACCATGATACCAGGACCATACTCCATTACCAGCCAAGCTCTTCTGTCTCTTCTCACTCACCGTCTGAGCAGGTGGACCATCGACCCACACAGTGCTGATACAATGTCGCCAATTATCAAACTATTTTTCTTAACTAATACATATTTTACATAACTAATACTGTACATGGCATAGGCTGATTAGATTTCGTCTTTATTCAAGACATCTTCAGAGGCAACTTGAATGAAGACGAATAAAGACGAAAGCTAAGGTGCTCCGTTGTTTCCCTTTTCCCGTGTGAATTTATCAAGATTTATCTTATCCACCTTTTCATTGTGGATCTACATGAAATATATATATATATATATATATATATATATATATATATATATATATATATATATATATATATATATATATATATATATATATATATATATATATATATATATATATATATATATATATATATATATATATATATATATATATATATATATATATATATATATATCAGCAGAATCGCCGCCTTCCGGGCGGCTCATCCGCTAGGCCACGGTAGGACGCCACCCTCCGGGAGGCTCCACATTGTCTCACTGTTCAGTCCCCAAAACTTCTTCTTCCATCAAATAGTTCATTAACGGTGTATATAAGGTCCACCATGTTTTTCACTACAACGGTACAGCAAAGTATATTTTTTTCACATTAAACTGTTATTATTTTATTTTTCTAAGCATCACTACATATTACACCACCCATCATCACTACATATAACATCATCCATCATCACTACATATAACACCATCCATCATCACTACATATAACACCATCCATCATCACTACATATAGCAACATCCATCATCACTACATATAACATCATCCATCATCACTACATATAACACCATCCAGCATCATCACTAAATATAACACCATCCATCATCACTACAAATCGGTAAAGTAGTTTCCGAGATTCTCGTGCGGACACACAAACACACAGACATACTTCTTTGTTTTATATATATAGATATATACTAGCGGAATCGCCGCCCTCAGGGCGGCTCTTTCGCTAGGCCACGGTAGGACGCCACCTTCTGGGAGGCTCCACATTGTCTTACTGTAGTGCATTAAGGTAGACCACATTTTTGGTTTTGCCATTAGCAGCAAGTATGTACAGATTTTTGCCAGTTCCCACTCTGGAACATCCAACATAGAACTGTCCATGAGAGAAGCAAGGAAACACCAGGTTTAGGCCAACCATCTTTAGGGACTTTCCCTGGCTTTTGTAGATAGTCATGGCAAAGCTCACTTTAACCGGGAACTGAAGTTGCTTGAACTCAAATGGCAGGTCAGTGGTGATGAGAGGTATCCTTGGTATAAAAACGTCCTCTCCTTTAGCTTTTCCTGTCAGTATTGTAGCTTCCAGTACATGTGGCATTGCAGAGGATTGGAGGTTCAAGATTTCTTAAGAACATTATAGGAGTTCCAATCTTGAGAGTGAGGTGGTGAGGAGGCATTCCAGCGGGCTCCATGTTAGTGAGCTCAGTTGAGGACTTTACAACATTTCCACATCCTTGAGGAATGATTATTTGTCCTTCTGAATCAACAGGGAAAGTTCCAGTCCCAATCTGTAGTAGAAGGTTTGCAAACCGTCTAGCATCGTGATCTCCTTGTAGATGTACTCTCATGTTTGTGGATAGGGTGAGTGTCTGAACACTTCTCCAAAGGTATGATGCATTGAGGCACGCATTCAGTTCATCAGCTGGAGTGCTTCGAGGAATGACAGGTAGGGTCTGGCGAAAGTCTCCAGCAATGACCATTGTAATGCCACCTATGAGCTGGTCATTTTCTCGTATGTCTTGCAAGGTCCTGTCCAATGCTTCAAACGCTAACTTGTGAGACATAGTGCATTCATCCCAGACTATGAGGCTGCATTTTTCTAAGAGTTTTACCTTTGCCATTCCTTTTTTGATGTTGCACACTGGATTCTCATTGTGAGCGAGGTTGAGAGGCAGTTTAAAAGTTGAGTGTTGTTACGACCGTGTCGTATTTTTCTATATTGTTTATGTAACATGCTTCCATGTAGTTCCATATTATTCCTGTAATGATGTGTTATATTTACTATTATATAATCTAGTACACCGTACCCTGTGCTGTTAAGGTTTTAACTGTTATTATTTGTTCAAGCCTATCTTAATTTTCATTTAGTATTGTAACAAGCATTCTTTGTTTCTCTAACGACCATCTGCATCGTTAAACGACCCATGTTTCACCCTCTACTGGCATTGGCGGGAAACGACCCTATATATAGTACTCCACCTGTAGACAGAGTTCAGTCCAGTCCTCTTGTCCTTCAGTTCACGTTGTTTTGAGTGACGCCTGTCACCTGTTACTTATACTTCATTTTATTTCTGTGTTTTTCCTGTCGCCACCAATGTGGTATATCTATGAGAGTACTTATTTAAGTCTCTTATGTGTCCATCAGTATTTGCTTAGTTACATTTAAGTAATTCGGTGTTGTTTCACGATAGTTAATTTCAGTGTTAGTTATTTTATTTATGCAGTGTTAACGTAATCCAGTGCTTTATTTTTATTCTATATATTTAAGCAGTTCTTTTGATGTTTCGATGTTTAGTATCATTTGTGTCTTAAAAGTTTCGATGGTGAATCAATTTGTTGTGACAGCCTACGAGGCTCTTTATTGTGTTAATATTTAATTAATTAAATTCTTAAAGGTTTACTTTATTTATTTTTATTCCCTTTTAATTTACTTCACTTTTTTTGTTTGGTTACGCCTAGAACCTGGATATTAAAGTAAATTAAGAGACGGAGTAACAGTGTGCAGTACGTCCTCCTTCTGGTAGTGTTGCAGCAATGCCACAGCAAGAGCAATTTTCCCCTGATGACGTAGTTTGGCCAACAGAAGGTTGATTAGGAATGTTTTTCCTGTTCCGCCAGGTGCATCGAGAAAGATCATACCTCCCTGTTCCGCTTGTATTGCTTGCAAGATCTGTTCATAAGCATTTGCTTGATGAGGCACCAGGTGAGGCTCATTTTCTTCAAGAAAATTCACCAAAACTTCAACTGAATAGTCTGTCTCTCTGAGCAACTCCCTGTTTGCAACTACTGTTCAGTCCCCAAAACTTCTTCTTCCATCAATAGTTCATTAACGGTGTATGTAAGTTCCACTACAACGGTACAGCAAAGTATATTTTTTTCGCATTAAACTGTTATTATTTTATTTTTCTAGGCATCACTACATATTACACCATCCATCATCACTACATATAACACCATCCATCATCACAACAGATAGGCAAAGTTGTTTCCGAGATTCTCGTGCAGACACACAGACATACTTATTTGTGTTATATATATATATATATATATATATATATATATATATATATATATATATATATATATATATATATATATATATATATATATATATATAACATAATAAAAATTATTATTACATATAGGAACAAAGTAATATGAAATATAACCTTACCTACTGAACAAGCAGGGTAATTACCTCTGAACAGGTAAGGTAATTAACTCTAAATTCAATATATATTCGGTGCCACAAAACAATATGAAAATAAATCCAGATTTAGTTGGTAATGTGTCAGTTGGTAACGTCCACAGTACAATATATTGCAGCACACACAACGTCGTCTCATAAACAATGGTAAAAAGTGTTATCGAGTGGTGAGGTGACACTCATGACCACTGGACAGACACACTACATCTCCCTCCATAAAGGATAACTCCATGCTGTAGTACATCCAAGATTAAGTGACCCACTTAATGTATCATTATGGTCCGGAGTTGTTTTAGTTTCTATGGCATGAACAATACTAAATTATAATGCTCATTCTCTCCAGGTATGAGCTTCGAGAACCCTTAGACAGAGAGTGGGGTAGTGCTGTAGGTGACGGTAACTGGACAGGGATCGTTGGCACCCTCCAGCACCAGCAGGCGGACTTCTCCCTCGACCTTACACTCACAGAGTCAAGGAGCCGCGTCATGGACTACTCCAGGGTCTATTATCAGGATCCTATGATTATTGTGTCGCCAAAGCCTACTCCACTTCCCCGGCATCTGGCACTCACCAGACCATTTGAAGGTGAGGTTGTGTGCTTAGTTTAGCAAATTAAATGTAATATTTTTCTATCGTTAAATCTGAGAAGACACACAAGTGAGTTTCATTGTGAGTTGCTTCTCAGTGCGCTATTGTGTATAGTCCAAAAAGTATCATTACGGAGGGATTCAATGAAACTCTTATGCTGGGGTGGGGATGACTTATGTCACTTCATCCCTTTGAGATGTATTAATGTTTTTTGTATCTCAATAAACGTATCAATCAATGAAACTCAAAACGAACATTGCGACTCCTGTTGTCTCAGTAGGGTTGTCAAAATCTTTCTCCGTTGTTTCATATTATTTAATACAAAAGTCGTTAAAATACTTTTTGGAGCATGAGATACAATTTCATAGGATACACTGAGTCCTACGCAGCTATATGACAGTCGCATATCCTGTGTAATCCTGTGCATGTATCGTATCAGACTATTTGAGGTGTACTTAACAGATATATTACTTCATAATTTTTGTTCTGTTCAGGCGAACTTTGGTTGGTTGTTACTGTTTGTACATTCGTCCTCGGCATCATCTTGTGGCTGCTGCAGAAGATGTGGTCATGGGTGTCTGGTGACCGAGGCGCCAGTCTGGTGTCTACTCTCTTCGACAGCTGGGGGATGCTTCTTATGAAACCAATAACAGAGATTCCCACTAACACCAATGGGCGGGTATGAACAATATCACCCCTTCATTATCATGTGTCGAATTTCAATAGTAAACATTATAATCTGTGACAATAACTAAACCTTACTTGATTATTTTAAGTAGAAATGAATCTATATTTTATTTAATACCCATGAAATGGACTGTGATGAAATATAACACTGACTCGGTTGATGCATATTTAGATTAACTCTTAATATGTTGATGATGCAGGTGCTGGTAGGATGGTGGTTGCTGACGTGTGTGATCATCACCACAGCCTACCGTTCCTCATTCATCGCCCACCTGTCCGTCCAGAGCAAATATCCACCTATCAACAACTTTCAGGACCTGCTCAACCGTGACGGCTGGTCTTGGGGTTCTAAGGCTTTGGAAGGAACCACTTATGTTTACTTCAACCAAAGTTCTGATCCTGACATACAAAAAATATTCAAGAAAATCGAAGTTAGTGAGCCTGGAGTGTTTGTTGTCAATCTGTACTGAACAATTTGTAGGAACATCAGATTTTTACTTTCTTTCCAAAATATCGCACCTGGTTACCTCCTAAGACTACATACTACTTGGCATCGTGTCCATACACTGTTATTTGATTTTGTTTTTTTACAGAGAGTACCACGTTGTAGAATCCTAAAGTCACTTTGTACAAATAAGAATACGAAAAGTGATTTCATATTCGTTCTTGACGAAGGACAACCATTCAGACATGATATTCGAGAATTATTTTTCATTATGCTCCATTATTGCTGCAGTTCCTTTTTATTACCCTCTGAGGACGATGAGTTTATCCCTAAAGGGTATAGCGAAGTATAATGTACTTAAATAGTTATAGCTTAAACCGTCATTATAAATTATTTTAACGTACCCGGTAAGAATAACAAATAATGTTAATCGTTCAAAAAAGTCTTATATCAGATTAAATCAATGTAATATAGAGTAAGATTTTTATAAATGAGGCTGGAAGAAATTCATTTAATTTATTCAGAAATATGACGAGACAAGAACAAGTAGTCTGTGGGAATAAATTGAATTAATTCCTTCCAGCCTCATTTATAAAAATCTTACTCTATATTACATTGATTTAATCTGATATAAGACTTTTTTGAACGATTAACATTATTTGTTATTCTTACCGGGTACGTTAAAATAATTTATAATGACGGTTTAAGCTATAACTATTTAAGGTCATTATAATACCTATTTAGGCTTACACGTTAAAACAGTTGATTTTTTTTTCCATGGCAGATTTACCCGATGGAGGACGGGCTGAAGCGAGTCTTGGCTGGCGGGTTCTCCCTTATAGTGGTCAAGATGTATGCCAAGGTTCACGCGGGAGAGATCTTCTTCGACCAGTATGGCAACTCGCCCTACCAGTTGGCCAGAACAGAGTATCCCATTTTTGGTGGTAACGTCTGGGGCTTCCGGTGAGTTAATTGAGAATCAACCACTAAGTACACAGTAATAAAATAAAATTTACATTTACCTGGTGGTATGAACATAAAGTATAAGCCTTGGCTCCTAGTTCTATGGGCGTATCAAGTACAGTAGAGCATCCATTCTATTACTTCTGAAACATGATCGTATGAACTGAACTTACAAATGATAATATATATATATATATATATATATATATATATATATATATATATATATATATATATATATATATATATATATATATATATATATATATATATTACGGCTTTTTAGCGAAATTGGTTATTTTGCAAAATATCCGGCATGCATATTGGTAATTATGCAAAATAACTTAAAAACAGACAACCTACAAGGTTAGGTTAGGATGGCTCGTGTAGCTTGATACACAGTTAAGTGGTCCTGTTCTTTTTTTTTCAACTTTGTGCTGTCCTAGCCATAAGGTTAGGTCAGTTTAGGTTGTTATTTTGCAAAATTACCGATTCCGAAAAAAACGTAACATATATATCATGTAGATCCACAATAGAAACGTGGACATGGTAAATCTCGATAAAATCACACAGGAAAAGGGAAACAATGGAGCACCTGAGCTTTCGTCTTTATTCAGTAACATGGGATGCACACCACCGCCACCGCACACGAAAGAAGAGCTTATAAAATAGTGAGAGATGCGGGAATTAAGTGCCACCTTTATCCTCCAGGTCCTTGAAGCACCGTAGTAGTGATCTTGTGTGTTATCGGACTTGGAATAACAATCCAATGTGGCATATGAAAATAATTTGCTAATTAATTAATGATTTAATTAATTAGTTCGGTTAAGGAAATGTTTACGTATAGTGTACAAACATTAGTGGCAAAAACACTATTTGGCACTGCAAAACGGACTACTTCAAGGGAAGTAGTGCGGTATTCCTCCCTTTTTAAGGATCACGTTAATATCGTTTAATTTACACGATATCGGCGGTAGTATTCAACTGAAAATGTAAATATGTATTTCTATTAAAAATAGTATTGTAAAGAAAATAATAATGAATATTTAGTTCTTGTTTTTGTATCACTGCGCGATTAAGTCACGCAACTGTACAAGGCGGTAGGAGCGCCACACTTCATGGAAGGCAGACGCAACTCTCCAAATCTAGCAGGAAGCCGGCCACCCACAAAGATATTCTAGCTTCTCAGTTCCTCCCAACACTCTCTACAACTCATAGCAGCCCCTAAAACAATAGTTAAGTACCTTTTTAATGTTTAGATGATCCCTTATTCTTGGGTACCGCTCTTTTAAGCATACGGGCTACCTTAGGTAATTATATTATCTTGTTTTATATTACATTTTATTAACTGGGATTTAATCTCTACAAGCGCCGTAACTAGTCATGTCAAGTCAGGTAAAAAATATGAGACCCACTAATCATCTATCCTACATTTACCTCAAATGCTTTCAAAGCATTTTTAACCTTGGGCCACTGACAAATAAATTTGTGTAACATTTTATCAGTTTTGTAATGACCATCACTAAGGTTTATAGAACTAATTTCTCTAATCAAACTTGCTTCAACCAGAAGTCTTTCTGAGATACATGATGATTTATACACTTTTAAACTGTTTTTCCAATCTATGGGATGATTATTGTTCCTTGTATGAACGAACAGGGCACTGCTTTCAGATGCTGTTCTAATATTGTGCTGTTTCATTCTAAGTTGCGATGCCTTCTCCGTCTGTCCTACATAATTTCCATTACAGTTGCTACATGGAATGCAGTAAACACTTCCATTTACATTCAAGGTTGGGCTATTCTTGATTAGTATTAGTAATAGTTGAGCCATGCCTAAAAAAGCATTAGTGTTTAATAATTTAAGGGATTGGACTAACGGGATAAATTCATTGCAATAAGGTAGTCAAAATATTCTTAAAAGTAAGGGAGATGATTAGTGGATCTGAAGTTTTTTTACCTGACTTGACATAAGTTGTTACGTTGCTCTTCTCTGGTGTGCGGTGGAGTGTGGATTAGTGGGTCCCAAGGTATTGACCTGACCTGATGTTTTGTAAGGTCACCCTTTGTATATAAGCCTCTCTCAGTACCTTTAAATTCAGTTGTCTCTTAAGATGTCTTGAATAAAAACAAAAACTAAGGTGGTCCATTTTTTTTTTATTGGGCACCCCTCTACATCCTTGTGTAAGGTGAAGCGCAGAAGCGTTTACAGCGCCCAACAGGGAAGCATGCTAAGTTCATGCTTGCCTTATGTCTCATGAGTTAAGGGCGTAGAAGCCTGAAGAGTCAGTGGTTTATGTCATCAAGTTATTGGAAGTTCCAACAACTTGTCCCTGAATACGAATTCGCAACTTTCGACTTACAACAAACCTACTTTGCTGCTAGGTGAACAGGGACGAAGGGGACTAGGAAGAGTGTCCAAACATCTTCCGCCGGCCCGGGAATCGAACCCGTGACATCTTGCTTGCGAGGCAAGAACGGTACCGCTCTACCACCAGCTCCCCAGGTGCTCCATTGTTTCCTTCTTTCTTGTGTGGTTTTGGTTTTATCGATATATATATATATATATATATATATATATATATATATATATATATATATATATATATATATATATATATATATATATATATATATATATATATATCGTGTTGCAAAGACAAGGAGCACCATTTACGAGTCAGATCAGCAAGATGAAACTACGACTGATTGAGGCGGGACTTCTGAACCTGTGGCTGGACGACATCATAAAAACCAAAAATGAGTTAAGAAACTCAGAGCGAGATAAAGATGAACTTCCACTGAACACTTAGGTAAAGAAAGTGTTGTGTTATCGGTGTTTAAGTTATTAGTGATTCTCATGTCTTTTCTTCTAAGTTCTGTTAAGTGAAACTGTGAGGATTCGTAGAAATACTTTTTAAATATTCTGGAAACTATGATTTTTAAATTGCTTAATTCTCAAATATACATATAATTTATTCATGAAATATTTTTTTTGATATATCAAGAAAAGTTTATCACATATTTTCTTTACATATAACACTTAGAGCAACTACTTTTATGCCTAAATAAAGGCATGAAATTCACAGTAGTAGGAATGTTAAATAAAATGGTATCAAACCGCATTATTTTCTTGTTGTTCTTGGCGTCAATACTCAGAATTCTTACTTATTTTTTTATCGAAACCTTCCACCTTGCTTCACGTAAAAATAAACATCCAAAATTTCTAGCGGGTATGACTTTACAAGAAGCCTGTAGTAAATAATTGAATTTAATGACAATAATTGTGGTGATCAGACTTTAACACAAAGATAAAATGTGGATGAGCTGCACGAAGGTAGAGATAATCAAATTTACCAGCCAGGTGAAGTCCTAGGGTAGAAACGCATGACAAAAGGCCCACTGACGGGGATCATATTAATTAACAAGTAATCTGCAGTATATTCAAGCTAAAATTTAGTCCCTCACATACACGGAGATTCGGGTTATGTATTAAAATCTTTGTTCTCTCTCTGTGTATCAGACGATAATTAAGATAATTCTACTGATGAATCCTCACACTTATGTTACTCTTGTGCAGGAGAGCTCGGATCAGGTGGTGTTGGGGCTGGACCGCTTACAGGGCGGCTTCTACCTACTGCTGTTGGGCTGTTGCCTCGCCTTCCTCGCCCTTGTTGCAGAGATAATCACCCACTTTTGATTTAAATGCCGAGTTTTATATGTAGTTGTTGATGATGAATCTCTGATACAGTAGGTACAGCAATACAAATGGACAGTTAATGTAGTTACATCAAACCAGTTCACACACACACACACACACACATATATATATATATATATATATATATATATATATATATATATATATATATATATATATATATATATATATATATATATATATATATATATATATATATATATATATATATATATATATATATATATATATATATATATATATATATATATATATATATATATATATATATATATATATATATATATATATGTAACCGGTCGGAATTTACTGGACTTTAATTTCTCACTTGACTTGGGGTTTATTAAAGATTAATAGATGGTAATGGCAGTGGAAGCGCCCCTTTGAGAAAAATCCCGAACCAGCACAAGAACACTTAAATCTACTAAACAAAATGAATTGTCCGTGACCCGTGGAAGGATAGCGTCTGTGACTGGGATGAATGAGACACACTGTAAAATTTAGACACTTATATTCCCTCCAACACTACAAACACAATCAAATAATGGTACACCAATATGCGCACCTCTTAACTTGAACTTAAAACACTACTCTGGGGAATAAAAGTTATACATGATATAGAAATTATTAGAAACTCAGGCAACAATAAATTTGAAGTATTAAGAAATGTTGCTTGCACACATGAAACAGGCCTTAAGGGCTTTCAACAAAATAATATCCAGCACTGAGAAAATGGTATTCAAAAATAAGAAATTAATAACTCTACAATGAATAGGCCTTAAGGGCACTCAACAAAATTATATCACCCCAACAGATGCACACTTCCTAACCTAACTTAACCACTACTCTGGGGAACAAAGGTTATACCTGAGATCAGAATTATAAAGAAAAATTAATGCATTAAAAGAATTAAATCACAGTATCACTCTGGTTCCACTTAGTGACACAAACATTCAAAAAACAATACTATCAAAATTATTTAAGAAATATTAAACCACACACGTCAAGATAACATCACTAACTGAGAAATGGTATTAACTACACACAAATATAGTCACTATTATTGATGTGTTACTGGGTCCACCAATACTCGTGAACCATGCTCCACCCAACTCAACATACACCCGTAATAAGGGAGATAAAATGTTCCTCTAGGTATCTCCTAGAGTCCTAGACTCACGGTCTCAGTGTGTGACCATTAATTTACTCAGATAGCGTCAGTGTACTCCCAGTGCGTCCATAAAGCGGAAGGGAGTAAGCCAATCAGACCTTGTACAGTTGAGAGAAGCTTTAGCTTCCCGTTAGCAAGAGGGTTTCACTAAGCTGCTCGAGACATGTGGTGTTGTGAGCCGAGGTAGAGGAGAGCTGATGACCCCAACGATCGTCCCGCCGTCAGCTGGGCACCCAGACGGCTAGATTCCCTCAAGAGATCCTTTGATACCCCGCTAAACAGTGACAGGCCTACACTGATCGGTCTAATGGCGACAATCGCCACCCTCAATCATCAACGGCAGTCTCAATGGCAGTCAATCTCTCGCAGTCATCACTCTCACAGTCAAACTCGGGTCAAGTGGGTTCTGTTGGAAACCCTGAAATGAACTCACTGTTAGCTCTTGTTAACTTTACCACTGCCCTATCTAACCCTGTCTGAGATCGAATGAGACTTACTTGTTATACTGCAATAGTGCAACACAGGTGACTAGGCCACGTGACTATTTCTGTGGACGGACGCGCAGGGATGTCCTGTAGGTCCAATCGCTTTCACGTGACTGAGGACCAGCCAGCGTCGCGTCTCTCCAAGGCGCTAGCTTAGGCCTACATGACATATTTTCCGCCTAACTAATAACTCCTTGGGACACCCGTAACATTATTCAGACTGATAAACGATCTATAATAATTTCAAATTCAATAATAGTCCCTTAACTTCATGAATCGCATCATTATTAATTCGGCAAATTACATTTAATATCACTTAAGCCTAGTTCCACAACCTCTCGCTATGTGCAGGGAGCGCTCTCTTCCCTCCGACGACCTTGAACGCTCAGTATCGCCAATGGCGGGGCATTCGAAATTACTTTGAAATTTCTGAATATTACAATCGACCCCCCTAAAAAAAGACAGCACTGTCCTCATGTGCTGAGAAAACATGCATACGACCCCCCCTAAAAAATTGTTCTAAGAAACTGCATCTTACCCCTTTAACGTGCTAAATGCAGCATTCCCTTCTTCTCCACTTCTCTCTCCCGCTAACATATATATATATATATATATATATATATATATATATATATATATATATATATATATATATATATATATATATATATATATATATATATATATATTTCATGTAGATCCACAATGAAAACGTGGATAAGATAAATCTTGATAAAATCACACGGGAAAAGGGAAACAACGGAGCACCTTAGCTTTCCTCTTTATTCAAGACATCTTCAGAGGCAACTGGATTACAGGGTTGCCAGATGGTTTCAGTTGCTTATAAGAACATAAGAAAATAAGGAGTCTGCAATAGGCCGGTTGGCCTGTGCATGGCAGCTCCTGTCGAGAGTTACTACCACTCTCTATCATCCATGAATCTATCTAGCCTCCTTTTGAAACTTTCCAGAGTTCCCGCACTTACTACAAAGTTGCTAAGCTTGTTCCACTCGTCCACCACCCTATTTGTGAACCAGTTTCTTCCTATCTCCCTCCTAAACCTAAACTTATCCAACTTGATCCCGTTGCTCCGAGTCCTATCCTGCTCGGATATTATAAGAACTTTATCTATATCCCCTTTATTGATTCCTTTCACCCACTTAAATACTTCTACCATATCTCCCCGCACTCTTCGTCTTTCTAGGGAAAGCGAGTTAAGTTTCTTTAACCTATCCTGATATGGAAGGTTTCTAAGTCCCGGAATAATTTTTGTCATTCTTCGCTGCACCGACTCTAGTGAATTTATATCCATTCTATAATCGGGGCACCAGAACTGAACCGCATAATCGAGGTGCGGCCTAACTAGCGCAAGATATAGTTGCAATAAGACCTCTGCACTCTTGTTACTTACACTTCTAGATATAAAACCCAATACTCTGTTTGCCTTATTTCGAACATTAACGCACTGTTTTCTAGGCCGTAGGTCCGGGCTTACAAGTACCCCTAGGTCTCTTTCACAAGTCGACTTATGGCCAAAAACACAGGAATAAAAGACCAAAAAAGGCCAAATGGTAAAATTGTCTTTAAAAACCTACATACTCTCCAAATTAAACTTAGAAACCTTTAAAAACAACAAAGTAAACACAAAACGTTGAAATATTTCTAAATAAATCAATTTAACAATAATAATAGGCATAAGGTAAAATAACTCGCCTCAATCTTGTTACAGGAACATCGTTATGTCAACTTCTTGTGTGCTTCGTGCAGTCTGTTGTGAGTGTGAAGTTGATGTAACACCAATTCTACCACCAAACGAATAGAGAAAATCAGACTTGAAGTTCGTTATCATTCGATCCGTTATACGCATATCCTTACAACAGATTGAATTCTCGAAGAGATGCGCTCGGATTCTGATAATTGCATCTAGAAGATTGATTTGCATTCTGTTTCTTGGTTTTGTTTTGATTGCAGTTACCAGAGAAAATATTCGTTCAACAATAGCATTGCTTGCTGGTGTGACTAGGCAATTAAGTGCATAAGCTGCCAATTCCTTGAAGTTTTCATGATGATAGACACAAAGCCAAAATTTGGTTGTGTCATCTGGAATTTCATTGTTTTCAAACACATTTTCTAGTCTCCAATCTGTTACAGTAATTTTCCGATATTGTTGTTCTATTTCATCTGAATTATTTTTAGCTAAATGCAACATAGGTAAATCTGAAAAATCACCTTTAGCTGTTTGGTTTAATACCTTCGAAGGATTAAGTAATGAAAGATTTTTGAATGCTTCAGCTGCATTGCACAATCTGGAACGCACTTGATAGATGGCCTCAACAATAAATATACGGCATCTTCTTTTAACATCAAGGACTTTGCTTTCTTCTTCTTTAACTTGTTGTCTCTCCTTGAACTCTTTAAGATGACTATTAACTTCTTGCTGAAATTTGACTCCAAAATGAATTTTTTCAATGCCTTTGTCTGTACCATCATTTGCTCGTAACAAGGCTAATAAAGTACTTGGGTTCATACAAAGGATTGTTAGTTACAAGACGAGCGAGGTCATCCTAAAACTGTATCTTGCTCTTGTGAGACCACACCTGGATTGCGCAGTTCAGTTCTGGTCACCGTATTACAGAATGGATATAGAATCCTTGGAAAGAATTCAGAGGAGAATGACAAGACTATTCCCGGGCATTAGGAACCTTGAGTATAGAGACAGGTTAAAGCATCTTAATTTGCACTCCCTCGAGAGACGTAGAGCGAGGGGCGACCTGATAGAGGTGTACAAGTGGAAGGCAGGGCTAAACAAAGAGGACATTACAAAGGTACTCAAACTATCCAACCAGGAGCGAACTCGTAACAATGGTTTTGAATTAGACAAATTTAGATTTAGGCGGGAAATAGGTAAACACTGGTTTGGAAACAGAGTAGTGGATGAATGGAACAAGTTACCAAATATCATCATTAACTCGAATACGCTGAATAGCTTCAAATATAGGTTGGATGCTTATATGAGCAATAGGGGTTGGGTGTAAACGGGACTGCCCAGTATGGGCCAATAGGCCCGCTGCAGTTTCGTCCATTCTTATGTTCTTATTATTGTAAATTCTATTGCAAAGAGTTCTTCTGAGTACTCTAATTCATTAGATAGTTTATGTGGATCCATGTTAGTGGATTGAAACATTGAATTGACAGCTTCAAAATCTTTAACAATAGGTGTAGCAAACACAAAATATAAATAACTGACTTTATCATAAAGCATTTTTTTTAATAATCTGGCTTTGAACTTTGTATCTGTTCGACGGTCGTTCAGTCTACGTGTTGTAAACGCGTTCAATACGCGTTTAAGACGTACTTGAAAAAATGGCCAAATCGAAATTTTGGTGGCGAAATACCTTCCAAAAAGGGCAAATATCTCATATTTGGCCATAAAAAGGCCAATCTGCCAACCCTGCTGGATTACATGGACAGAGAGAGGCTTAAATATACAGGGTGACCTTAAAAACATGAGGTCAGGTCATAATGATGTCATCCAATAATCCCCACACCAACACACACGTAGAGGAGCTAAAGAGAACGGGGAGTGACGTGACTAGTCAGGTCAGGTCAAAAATAAGGGACCCACTAAATACCTATCATACATCTAGATCAAAGGTTTTCAAAGCATTTTTAACCTTGGGCCACTGACAAATAAATTTATGTAACATATTATCAGTTTTGAACTGACCATCACTAAGGTTTATTGATTTTAATTCCTTAATCAAACTAGCTTCAACCAGGATTCTTTCTGTGACACAAGATGATTTAAATACTTCTAAGCTTTTTTCCAAGCAATGGGATGATTATTATTCCTAACATGAACGAACAAGGCACTGCTTTCAGATGCTGTTCTGATATTATATTTTTGTTGTTTGATTCTGAGCTGCAGTGTTTTTCCTGTCTGTCCTACATAATTACAATTACATGTGAATTGATTTTACATTTTCATATGATTTATCCCAAAACTGAATTTTGTATTGATGTAAAATATATTTTACTTTGTAACCTAACCTAACCTAACCTACCAGCTTCTTATTAGGGTTGGTACATTGTACCAACTCTAAGAAGAAGCTGTAAAAATACTTGCATTAATACAGTGGTCGGGTTTCATTGAACTTTGTAGTCGATATAATATATTTGACAATAAATTCTCATTGATACTTCAATAATAAATCATATGGCAACTGTAAGACCATAAACAATCCTTTGTACAGAATTATATAGGAAACAAGGAAGTGTTCACTGCAGACACTGGCATCAAATAAGAACATAAGAACATAAGAAAGTGGGATACTGCAGGAGGCCGACTGGCCCATACAGGGCAGATCCCTTTCACACCCATCCCAGCACTTCCATGTGCCTATCCAACTTCGTCTTGAAGCTCCCTAGCGTCCCCGATCCTACTATAGCACTCGGTAGCCTATTCCACATATCCACAACTCTATTACCAAACCAGTGCTTGCCTATATCCTTTCTGAATCGGAATTTATCTAATTTAAAGCCATTTGTTCTAGTTATTTCGTTATTACTGAGCTTCAGAACATCTTCCATTTTACCCTTGTTAATCCCACTTACCCACTTGAACACCTCTATCATATCTCCCCTAACTCTACGCCTCTCTAATGAATGCAAGCCTAAGCTTTTCAGTCTTTCTTCATATGGAAGGTTTCTAATATTATGGATCATTTTTGTCATTCTTCTTTGTACTCTCTCCAAAGAATCTATGTCCATTCTATAATAAGGACACCAGAATTGAACCGCATAATCCATGTGTGGCCTCACTAATGCTAGGTAAAGTTTCAAGATAACGTCAGCAGTTCTGTTACTCACACTCCTAGATATGAACCCAAGAATCCTGTTTGCCTTGTTGCGAACGCTAATACATTGTTTTCTAGGTTTCAAGTCGTTGCCAACAAATACACCTACTGTAGATCTTTTTCACAATCTGAGTTTTCTATTTCCGTGTTACCTAGTTTATACTTAACGTTTGTATTCGTCTTCCCTATCTGTAGTACCTTGCATTTATCAGTATTAAAATTCATTTGCCAGTCTACTGACCACTCATGTAAGGTATCTAGATCTCTTTGAAGGTGTTCAAAGTCACTGTCTGAATTTATCACTCTCCCCATTTTGGTATCATCTGCAAATTTACTAATCCTACTAGTTATACCTAAATCAAGATCATTAATGAATATAACAAACAGCAGGGGGCCTAATACAGATCCCTGGGGAACTCCGCTTTTGACCGCACCCCAGTCTGACTTAAATCCATTATACTAAGTGTCTTTATAGGAAAGATTAAATGAACTGTAATGTAGGGAAAGATTCAAATTACTACAGGCAACTTAGTAATTTTGTAGTTCTCTGTTGTCCAATGACGGAATGTATGACAAGGAGCTCTTCTGGCGAGTATCATAACAGACCAGTTACCTATAGTCAAGCTAAAGTTACTTGGTATACCATAATTATACATGAAGGTCGATGAATAACTTGTATAATAAGAAAATATGCCTATCTCTAATCCGAAAATAACTAAGATAATTCTTGTGCAGGAGAACTCGAATCAGGTGGTACTGGGGCTGGACCACCTGCAGGGCGGCTTCTACCTGCTGCTGTTGGGCTGCTTCCTCGCCTTCCTCGCCTTTGTAGCAGAGATCACAACTCAATGTTGACTCGATTATCAAGATTCATATTTGGTTGCAGATAATGAATCAATATTAGGTACAATAAATCAAATGCTTATTTGATGAAGTTACATAAAATCAGTGTAGATTTTTCTCTTAAGTCTCAAGGGCCCTGCAAAAGTCCCTTTACATACTGTATGCGTTGCACATGGTCTCGTGAAATAAATTTTTTCCTGACATTTTTAAGAATTTTTTCCCTACTTACCAGGACTGTAAAGGTGACATTGTGCCAAAGGAAAATCTGTATAAATTGTCCTTTGTAAGATTCTAATATCTGTAATTTTTCTACAGTGAATAGATAATTGAAGCTCCTAAATCTGACACACCAAGTGTTTTGTTTTTGTGACTTTCTCATATGTAAAGTCAATACATGTTGCTAAGAGTGAAGATGGCACAGAGACACATCTTACCACTCACTCAGGGGGGAACACTTCACTTAAGTATTCCTATAGAAGTGTACTCAAAACACTTCCCCTGGAGAGAATTAACAATGCATTCTCTCCCAAACTAAGTACCTGTGTATGTAGACGCTTCAACAACAGAGAAAGTCCAGAACAAATGTATACATAAATACTGCCACAGTTCCAGAACTAAGTTAAAACAATTGTGTGTGATACAAAAAACCGCAATCACATACTAGTGGCAGTCGAGTGAGACGGAAACGAAAAGCAGTGAAACGCTCAGAAAAAAAAGGATTCCAGTGACTTAAGTGCCACTTTAAGTGGATCATCAATAAACAAGCAATTACAAGAAAAATAAGTGGACAGTTCCTAGAAACACCTGCAAAACTTATACACAGAAACACAGGGCGGCAAATTAATTCAGGGCAGGATGCAAATGCATTACAGGAGGATCTAAATAAACTGCAGGGGTGGTCTGAAAAATGGCAAATGAAATTCAACACCAGCAAATGCAGCGTACTTAATATTGGAAGAACAAATACTTATAATGTATACAGCCTTAACAACATCAACCGAGAGAAGTCGCCTTGTGAAAGAGACCTAGGGGTACTTGTAAGCCCGGACCTACGGCCTAGAAAACAGTGCGTTAATGTTCGAAATAAGGCAAACAGAGTATTGGGTTTTATATCTAGAAGTGTAAGTAACAAGAGTGCAGAGGTCTTATTGTAACTATATCTTGCGCTAGTCAGGCCGCACCTCGATTATGCGGTTCAGTTCTGGTGCCCCTATTATAGAATGGATATAAATTCACTAGAGTCGGTGCAGCGAAGAATGACAAAAATGATTCCGGGACTTAGAAACCTTCCATATCAGGATAGGTTAAAGAAACTTAACTTGCATTCCCTAGAAAGACGAAGAGTGCGGGGAGATATGATAGAAGTATTCAAGTGGGTGAAAGGAATCAATAAAGGGGATATAGATAAAGTTCTTATATTATCCGAGCAGGATAGGACTCGGAGCAACGGATTCAAGTTGGATAAGTTTAGGTTTAGGAGGGAGATAGGAAGAAACTGGTTCACAAATAGGGTGGTGGACGAGTGGAACAAGCTTAGCAACTTTGTAGTAAGGGCGGGAACTCTGGAAAGTTTCAAAAGGAGGCTAGATAGATTCATGGATGATAGAGAGTGGTAGTAACTCTCGACAGGAGCTGCCATGCACAGGCCAACCGGCCTATTGCAGACTCCTTATTTTCTTATGTTCCTATGTTCTTAATAGATTACTGGTCGGCATATGAACTTCGAATGATTCGTTGTGTAGACACCGGAGCAGTTCAAATGTAGATATTACATGTTATACTTGAAATGCAACATTGGTTTCGATTTGTTACGAAAAATAAAGTAATGTTTATTATATTATCCGGAATACTAATGAACAAGTGTCAATGGTTGTTTGGATTCGCAATGTGAACGTCTTTTGTTTGTGACGTCATTTCCACCCACCTCTGCTTGCTTAGTTTTACCTTTCAAGAGCCGGGTGGTGTTGGTATAGGGCTGGCAGTCATAAGCAGTGCTGCCGTTTTCAGGAATATCGTCTGCTAACGAGGAAAACATATGATAGTTGGTGACGTCATGAGGAGAGGCCGTCCACATTCTACGTCACAGAGACGCCATGAGGAATATATTCCCACTGTTCAAGAAATCCATATAAAATGTAAAGGACTAAATAATTTTTTCTTCAGTAATATATATATGACTTTATTTTTATCAACTCCGTTAGTATATATCAACAGATAATGTATAGTATAAATGGATTGTGGGTAATAAATGACGCGGAAAATCAACATGGGACCCTCGATTGATGTGGAAACCACACCTTGTTCTCGTCCGTGGATATGGTAAGAGCTCTCATCATCAGCCAAGTATCATCAGCTAGACGTACTCACAGAACTCTATCTACAAGCCGGTAAGGATATATTTATTTAAGTGATTGGCATGTAATTAATCGCAGCTTTCATCACCTATGTAGCAGTTACTTACACCTTAACCGTTTTCTTTTATCAGTGTATCAACAGAAATGATTAGATAAATGAAATCTTTACACCTTGTTCATTTGTTGCTTTTATTTTTCCAAAGGGCCAAATGTACATTATTTTCCTGTGCACTTATAAAGGACTATGCAAGTAGCCTAGAACGATCATGGCAATTATTCACTGATTTAGTTATTCTTGGGTTTGCAGGGGAGACTACACAAAAGTTGATCAAATCTCCTATTGCAGGTGGTGATGGCTGCGAAGCGGAGCTTCAGAGATGCATGGCTGAACAATGAAGATTTCCAGCCCTGGTTGTCCCGTGTTGAGGACAATCCCTCTAAGGCATTATGCAAAATATGCAAGAGGGAAGTGAGTGCAGAGTTGACAGCCATCAAACGTCACAAAACGACAAAGATGCATGCAGGTTATGAGGCCTCGGAACAACAGGAGGTCCAGCAGGAGAGGATCCCGGTCCACCATGGGAACTATGCAGCAAATGGAGTAGCCGTTGCAACAATTCTTTTTGCTTGCTTTATAGCTGAGCACAACTTGCCATTTACCACTGCAGATCATTTAGTAGACCTCATGAAGAGGATGTTTCCTGATTCTGCAATTGCTCAAGGCATGAACATTAAAAGAACAAAATCCACAGAGGTTGTGAGAACGTTAGGACGGTGTGTCACCGAGGATTTAGAAGATAAACTTAGAGAAAGAAAATTTTCCATTATTTATTGTTGACGAAACAACAGACATTAGTACGATGAAAGCATCCTCTGTTCTTGTAAGATTTTGGGATTCAACCACAAACAGCATTAAATCTGGGTTATTAGAGGTGATCAATGTATATGGTGATGAATCATCTACAGGGTCAACAGGGGAAAATTTGTATAATTTAATTATGAAAACATTAGAAACACACCGAATTCCACATGAGAACCTGATTGGCTTAGCTGCTGACGGCGCTAGTAACATTATGGGAGAACACAATTCTGTAAGCAGCAGACTACGTATCACTATTCCTGGCATAACCATATTGAAATGTATTTGACATTCTATTCACTTATGCGCTTCGGAGGCTGCAAAGACGCTACCACGGCTTTGTGAAGACATGATCAGACTTATATACACATATTTTTCCCATAGTGCTAAAACACAGCGTGAATTTAAGGAATTTCAATCATTCTGTACTGTCAAACCACACAAAGTTCTGCATGTTAATCAGACCCGCTGGTTATCATTCCACCAGGCAGTTGAAAGAGTATTAGAGCAGTGGCAGCCCCTAAAAATGTTTTTTACTTTAAAAGAATCGGGGGAAAGATTGGTGGTCGTACAACAAATAATAGAGTCTTAGGGACCCTTCACTTTTAGTGTACTACAATTTTCTTAATTTCATATTGCCCAAATGTAACAAGTTAAATCTACTGTTTCAGAGAGTCACCAACTATACATTTGTTACACGATAGTATATGTCAGCTTTACAGGAATCTTTTGAGATATTTTTGTCTTCATGAAGTTTTTCAAACGGGTAATCTTGATGCAGTTGATCCCAGAAATGAAGAAAATCACCTCCCAATAGGCCAAATATACTTGGGAGCAACAATAAATGGCCTACTGCAAAGTGAACAATATAGAGAACTCCCTAATATGGTCAAGGATGTACAGTTCAGATGTCGTATCTTCATGATAAACCTTTGTGTGCAATTAAGCCAAAGATTTGAGTTTGGCAACAAGTTTTTATGGATGTGTTCATTTCTGTCATCAAATAGGGTATTTGATAATAAATCCAGGAAGGATGCCCTTCTCGCTGAGGAAGAAGCAGATGGTTTCTGCCCCTTGCTTTTCTGCTGCGATTCCAGGTCTGCTCTCGACGGGATCGCTTTTGGATCAGGGGAAAATAAGGACCTCATCCTCCGGGATGAGGATGCAGGCCGTCCTGTGACATTCCTATGGATACCCAGTCATGTCGGTATCTTGGGGAATGAGGCAGCAGATGGCCTTGCCAAGACTGGCTGCAACAAGGCCACACCTGACTACGTTGTTCCTCGAACACTTTTACAGCTTAGGACCTAAATTCGCCGCAAGCAGAGAGAAGCTCGGGAAGCAGCCATCCCCCTGGACTCCCTGCCCGCCTGGTACGGTGTCCTCCGTAAACTTCCTGACCTCTCGTATGTCTATGGGAAAGGGTCGCGGAAAGGGGACGTGATTGCTGCCCGTATCATCATTGGGTATGACTTTGCTTGGGAGATTGGTATCCCCGCATCCCCTGAGGAACGCTCTTGTGCATTATGCAGAAGACCCGACAGCAGCACCCTTGTCCACTACCTCCTAAGATGTCCCCACACACAACGCTTCCGTGACGCCTGCTGGACCACCACTCCACGACCCCCTGACGGAGACACGATGATCCTCCCCATACTGGCCAGATATTATGTAAATAACATTGATTATGTGTTAAAGGAATATCTTTCCTTCCTTAGGCTTTAGTAAGCCCCTTTATAATATTTATACTGTATGTTCTTGTCACACTTGCCAGATGCTTCTGGTGTTATTGTACAGGGTACCTAGTGACAGCACTAGGATCCCGCTTCCTCTATCAAGGAATAAACAATTGAAATTGAAATTGATTCATTATTTGTTGCTGAAGATGAATCACTACTTGGTACAGCAATACAAATTCATGGTTAATGCAGTTACCAAAAAGCGATTTTACGGGTGTGGAAAAGTTCCTTTACTTATATGTAGCACATAGTCTCTCCTGAAATAAATTGTCTCCTGATTTTATATGATATTTATTATCCTACTCTGCAGGACCGGAAAATTTGTATAATTTTCCGGTTATAAAGATCTAACAAGTGTAATCTGTCCACAACGAATGTGGGAATTGAAGCTCCTCGATCTGGCACACCAAAGGTTTTATTCTTGTAAACTGTGCGTTTGTAAATTAAAGACACAAGTAAGAAAAATATTGTTGCCATAAAAAAAATTTCCATCCATAAAAAAGGGGAAATATCTTATTAAATACTTCTGATCCGTTATTCTCCTGAATAAATGAATACAGACACCCACATACACACATACACACACACCCACACACATACATACACACACACACATGAATCGGGTACTTGTGCAATTAACCAGGTCGTTCACATATATTTATTATTTGGGTTTAAGTAACGAAACCCAAACGGTAGTTCCTTGTTTTA